GGGTGTGTGGGCAGCAAATGGACACAACGTGGACAGCTGAGGGGTGGCAGCTGGCAGAAACAGCTACTCATTTGTGTTGCTGTCATAACAACCTTCCAAAATTGCCATTGGAAGTCTGCTTTGTTTATGTAGATCAGGGATTTATCAGCTGGGACTGGCCCTGGTGTGAGACCCTTGTCTCCAGTTCCACAGTTCCAAGGTGTTTKCTCAGTGGCAGACAATGTCTCCACTGGACACAGCCAAGCCTGGCTTTAATTATCAATGGTTTAATTATCAGCTCAGCTAATATGTTTTATAAACCTTTGGTGTTACTGTAAATACAGAGCATCATCTGCTCTAACCACAGAGGGAAGTCCAGGCTTTAAAAACCCTTGGATTGTCTCTTGATTTTTGCCCAGATGGGTTTTGTGCTTTCCTCCACAGTGATTCTACTAATGCAGCCTATTAACTTCCACATTTAAAAAGTCAAATGTTGGAATCAGATAATTTAACCATCTTATTGTTTGCTTAACCATAAAGACCCTGAAAACCACTAATAATCTGTGAAAAAAAAACTCCTCTGTGGTTGTGGAAGCTGAGAATGCTCGAACAAAGCACTCCCCATTTTCCAGGAAGGATTGCTGGGCTGAAGTCTGCAGACAGATGTGACCCAGAATTGCTGCCAGTGGCACTTCCTTCAGCACAAAATACAAATGGAGCTGTGTGTGCTGGACCCTGCCAGCACRTCAGTCCTGGATGGGATTAGATAAAGGGTTGGCACTGGATGTGTGYGGGTTTGTTGCCTTTTTCACTTCACAGAAAGTGATGCTGGTRCAGAGAATATCATTTGTCCTTTGCYGGGGTGGCCTTGGGAACTTTGGCCCTTTTGCCAAAGGAGGGAACGTGGGGAGTTGTTTTAGGTGTTGGTTTGCTTGGTTTCCTGGCCCTGCTCGGGCACCAGTGTGTGCCAGGGGAGGAGAGGGGGCAGCTGGGGGAGCASCCCTGGGTCAGCCAGGAGRAARGCTCTGCATGAGCTGCTGTGCTCATTTACACCTCCCTTGGGGCTCCTCGGGCTGTGCTCTGCTCCTTCTGGCACTGAGAGCAGCAGGGACTGGACTTTGGTGTTCATATGTCTGGAGTTTGTGTTAGAGCTCAAACCCCATCCCTGGTGTGCAGCTCCWGCAGCTCCWGCAGCTCYTCCTGGGGCACCAAAGGAGCTGCACAAACCCTGGTGCTCCTGTTCAGTCCAGGGGAGCTGATGTTCACAGGAGTGCTGATCTCAGAACAGTGCATGGACTGGTTCCCAGCTGAGCTGACAMTTTGGGTTCATCCTTCAGCCCTGAGGATGTGCAGGACTCTGCCAGGAGGAACGGGGACTGCAGGGTYTGGCCAAGGCAGGGCTTGCTAAGAGCTGCAGCCGGGCATTGTTTTGTTTTTTTGTCTCACTTTTGAATGACCTAGGTCAGCCTGACAGGCTCTGAGTGAGCCGTGCTGCTCTGGACTCATGGGCTCTTCAGCCASACTAATCCCTGGGGAGGAGTGACTCAAGGACTCATCAGCTCTCACAGCCACTTGATCTGGATGATGAAGCTGAGCTCAGGAATTCATTARTGAGCACCTCCTCACTCTCCAGGAGTTTTCAGAAATAAGCCCTTTGGGCACAGTATTTTTCTGGGCTTCCTGCAGTCACCCAGYATTTTTCACTGGATTTTTGTCCCAGCCCTTTGTGGCTGGCACCAGGGAGTTCCAAGTCTCTCAGAGGGAGCTTCAGAGACTCCGTTCTCATGAGTCCTGAGAGCCAACCAAGCACAGCCCCGGGCGTGCTGGATGCTCCTGGGGATGATATYCTACTGCTTGACATGCTGGGGTTTCTGTCTCAGCAGTTCTGGGGGAAATCACATCTATTCTCAGTTCCCTTGCAGAGATCTACCTTCCCCTGCACTGCTCCCATCCAGATGGAGCACAGATGTCTCGTTCTTTGCCGGTGCTTTCAGGAGCAGAAGTGGCCCAACAGTCGTGTTTGTCACACAGTGATGTCTCATCATGACAGCACAATGGTTGTGATCTTTCCTRTTGCTCTGTCCAAGGCTGTAGCTCTCAGAGCTTTATGTCACCACCGTGGCTGATGAATTCCTGTAGTCATTTCCAACATCCTCTGTCAGCTTGAATCCCATCATTGCCACGAGTTATAAACCAGAGAATTGTGGGGGAAATAGCTGCTGTCCTCAATGATCCCAGTGTGAGGACCTGCAGGCATCACTGCAGGAAAGTGGCAATGGCTTTGGGACATCAAAAGGGACTCAGTAAATGGTTTTTGGTTTTTTGGTTTGGGTGCAAGGATCTGTTCAGCGGTGGCTGGAGTCTTAGTCCTGGATTTCTGGGATTTCTTCTGAAGGAAATAGAGTTTCCCYGTGCCCCCTTGTTGTGGCTCACTTACTTTCTCATCTCATGCTGAGTCCCTGGAGTGTGCCAATGGAAAAAGTTGGGTTCCATTTAAATCCAGCTTGGAATAAAAAGCWTTGGATGTGAGAAAAAAGTCAAACATTAGTTCATTGCCGGAGTGCTAAACTGTTTCTAACTTTGTATTTTGCCTCTTGCAGCAAAGTAAGACTTTCTCACTTCCCTCCCACAGCGAAAGGGAACGTAAGGCAGACTGTCATGAGCTATTTAGCATTTTGAAATACTTGAAATAGTCAAACTCGCAGCTTTTATGTTTGTGTTTCAGATGGAGAAACATTTTTAACATTTGACGTTTTGTGAGTGTTTATTATTAATTTTCATGTCACTGCTCAGGGAATGATGGCATTTGCTGTTCTGTAGCAGTTATGTAGTGCATATCAAAACGATAAATTCACATTTGTGGAGAAGTCAACTTTCATCTATTTCTCATTGGGAGAATTTGGTAAACTTGGGATGTTTTCATTAATTGCCAGGCTGGGCTCAGCACTGGTGGGGGTTGTCCGTGGGACCTGAGTGTGACATTTCAGGATTKTATTTTGTACCGTGAGTGCCAAGAGCAAATCCTTGCCCGTGGCAGCCCCAGGGGATGCAGCAGAGGG